ACTACTATAAGCATCATTCCTGCCCTTTGAAAACACTCCTTCCTTGAAACACTACTTATAAGATCCTTCCTGTTCTTGAAACACTACTATAAGCATCCTTCCTGTCTTTTTGAAACACTAATTATGAGTATCCTTCCTGCTCCTTGAAACACCACTATAAGTATCCTTCCTGTTCCCTTGAAAAACACCACTATAAGCATCCTTCCTGCCCCTGCTACTTTCATGAGTATCCTTCCTGCTCCTTGAAACACTACTATAAGTATCCTTCCTGCTCCTGAAACACTACTATGAGTATCCTTCCTGCCCTTGAAACACTACTATAAGTATCCTTCCTGCTCCTGGAAACACTACTATAAGTATTCTTCCTGCCCTTGTTCGACTACTATGGAGTATCCTTCCTGTTCCTGAAACACTACTATAAGTATCCTTCCTGCCCTTGAAACACTACTATAAGTATCCTTCCTGTTCCTTGAAAACACTACTATAAGTATCCTTCCTGTCTTTTGAAACACTATGCATATCCTTCCCTGCTCCTTGAAACACTACTATAAGCATCCTTCCTGCTCCTTGAAACACTACTATAAGCATCCTTCCTCCTTGCAAAACACTACTATAAGCATCCTTCCTGTTCCTGAAACACTACTATAAGTATCCTTCCTGCCCCTTTGAAAACACTAACATAAGTATCCTTCCTGCTCCTGAAACACTACTATAAGTATCCTTCCTGTTCTTGAAACACTACTATAAGTGTCCTTCCTGTCTTTGGAAACACTACTATAAGCATCCTTCCTGCTCCTTGAAATACTTCACTATGCATCCTTCCATGCTCCTTGAAACACTACTATAAGTATCCTCTGCCCCTTGAAACACTACTATAAGTATCCTTCCTGTCTTGAAACACTTATAAGTATCTTCCTGCTCCTTGAAACACTACTATAAGTATCCTTCCTGCTCCTTGAAAACACTACTATAAGCATCCTTCCTGTTCCTGAAACACTACTATAAGTATCCCTTCCTGCCCTTGAAACACTACTATAAGCATCCTTCCCTGCCCTTGAAACACTACTACAAGTATCCTCCTGCTCCTTGAAACACTACTAAGCATCCTTCCCTGCTCCTGAAAACACCACTATAAGCATCCTTCCTGCTCCTGAAACACTCTCCTTCCTGCTCCTGAAAACACTACTATAGTTATCCTTCCTGCTCCTTGAAACAAACACGCATTATAAGCATCTCTTCCTGCTCTTGAAACACTCTCCTTCCTGCTCCTTGAAACACTACTATAAGTATCCTTCCTGCTCCTTTGAAACACTACTATAAGTATCCCTCTGCTCCTTGAAAACACTACTATAAGTATCCTCTTGCCCTTGAAACACTACTATAAGCATCCTTCCTGCTCCCTGGAAACACTAGTGAGTATCCTTCCTGCTCCTCGAAACAATACTATGAGTATTCCTCTGCTCCTTGAAACACTACCATAAGCATCCTCCTTCCTGTTCCTTGAAAACACTACTATATATCCTTCCTGCTCCCTGAAACACTACTATGAGCATCCCTTCCTGCTCCTTGAAAACACTACTACAAGTATCCTTCCTGCTCCTTGAAAGCCACTTACTTATAAGTATCCTTCCTGCTCCTGAAACACTACTATAAGCATCCTTCCTGCTCTTGGAACACTACTATATGATCCTTCTGGTCCTTGAAACACAACTATAAGTATCCCTCCTGTTCCTTGAAACAGTACTATATGGTCCTTCCTGGATCCTGAAACACTACTATAAGCATCCTTCCTGCTCCTTGGAACACTACTATAAGTATCATTCCTGCTCCTTGAAATTTCCTCCCTGTTCTTGAAACACTACTATAAGTATCCTTCTGCTCCTGAAACACTACTATATATCCTTCCTGCTCCCTTGAAAACACTACTATGAGTATCCTTCCTGTCTTGAAAACACTACTATAAGATCTTCCATGTTCCTTGAAAACACTACTTATAAGTATCCTTCCTGCTCCCCTGGTGTTACTACTATGAGATCCTTCCTGCCTTGAAACACTACTATAAGCATCCTCTCCTACCCTTGAAACACATCATGAGTATCCTTCCTGTCTTTGAAACAGACTACACTATAAGATCCTTCCACCTTGAAACACTAATATGAGTATCCTCTGCCCTGAAACACCACTGTAAGCATCCTTCCTGCTCCTTGAAACACTACCAAGCATCTTCCTGCTCCCTGAAACACTCTCCTTCCTGCTCCTGAAACACTACTATAAGCATCCTTCCCAGCTCCTTGAAACACCATAAGATCTTTCCTGCTCCTGAAAACACTACTATAAGTATCCTTCCTGGGTTCCTGAAACACTACTATTATAAGCATCCTTCCCTGCTCCTTGAAACACTACTTGACAAGCATCCTTCCTGCTCCCTGAAACACTATAAGCATCCTTCCTGTCTTGAAACACTACTATAAGAATCCTTCCTGCTCCCTTGAAACACTACTATAAGGTATCCTTCGCTCCTTGAAACAATTACTATAGCGATTCTTCCTGCCCTTGAAACACTACTATGAGTATCCTTCCTGTCTTGGAAACACTACTATAAGTATCCTTCCTGCCCTTGAAACACTACTATAAGTATCCTTCCTGTTCCTTGAAACACTACTATAAGTATCCTTCCTGCTCCTGAAACACTAATATAAGTATCCTCCTGCCTTGAAACACTACTACAAGTATCCTTCCTGCTCATTGAAACACTACTATAAGTATCCTTTCTGCTCCTTGAAACACTCTCCTTCATGCTCCTTGAAACACTCTCCTTCCTGCTCCTTGAAACACTACTATGAGTATCCTTCCTGCTCCTTGAAACACTACTATAAGTATCCTTCCTACTCCTTGAAACACTACTATGAGTATCCTTCCTGCTCCTTGAAACACTACTATAAGTATCCTTCCTGCTCCTTGAAACACTACTATGAGTATCCTTCCTGCTCCTTGAAACACTACTATAAGTATCCTTCCTGCTCCTTGAAACACTACTATAAGTATCCTTCCTGCTCCTTGAAGCTCCTTGAAACACTACTAAGTATCCTTCCTGCTCCTTGAAACACTACTATAAGTATCCTTCCTGCTCCTTGAAACACTACTATAAGTATCCTTCCTGCTCCTTGAAACACTACTATAAGTATCCTTCCTGCTCTTTGAAACACTACTATAAGTATCCTTCCTGGTCCTTGAAACACAACTATAAGTATCCTTCCTGTTCCTTGAAACAGTACTATAAGTATCCTTCCTGATCCTTGAAACACTACTATAAGTATCCTTCCTGCTCCTTGAAACACTACTATAAGTATCATTCCTGCTCCTTGAAACACTCTCCTTCCTGTTCCTTGAAACACTACTATAAGTATCCTTCCTGCTCCTTGAAACACTACTATAAGTATCCTTCCTGCTCTTTGAAACACTACTATGAGTATCCTTCCTGCTCCTTGAAACACTACTATAAGTATCCTTCCTGCTCCTTGAAACACTACTATAAGTATCCTTCACTGTTCATGAAAACGCTACTATAAGTATCTTCCTGCTCCTTGAAACACTACTATAAGTATCTTTCCTGCTCCTTGAAACACTACTATAAGTATCCTTCCTGTTCCTTGAAACACTACTATAAGTATCCTTCCTGCTCCTTGAAACACTACTATAAGTATTCTTCCTGCTCCTTGAAACACTACTATGAGTATCCTTCCTGTTCCTTGAAACACTACTATAAGTATCCTTCCTGCTCCTTGAAACACTACTATAAGTATCCTTCCTGTTCCTTGAAACACTACTATAAGTATCCTTCCTGCTCCTTGAAACACTACTCTAAGTATCCTTCCTGCTCCTTGAAACACTACTATAAGTATCCTTCTTGCTCCTTGAAACACTACTATAAGTATCCTTCCTGCTCCCTTGAAAACACTACTATAAGTATCCTCCCTGCTCTTGAAACACTCTCCTTCCTGCTCCTTGAAACACCACTATAAGTATCCTTCCTGCTCCTTGAAACACTGGCTACTATAAGTATCCTTCCTGGCTCCTTGAAACACTCCTCCTTCCTGCTCCCTGAAACACTACTATGAGTATCCTTCCTGCTCCTTGAAACACTACTATAAGTATCCTTCCTGCTCCTTGAAACACTACTATGAGTATCCTTCCTGCTCCTTGAAACACTACTATAAGTATCCTTCCTGCTCCTTGAAACACTACTATAAGTATCCTTCCTGCTCCTTGAAACACTACTATGAGTATCCTTCCTGCTCCTTGAAACACTACTATAAGTATCCTTCCTGCTCCTTGAAACACTACTATAAGTATCCTTCCTGTTCCTTGAAACACTACTATAAGTATCCTTCCTGCTCCTTGAAACACTACTATAAGTATCCTTCCTGCTCCTTGAAACACTACTATAAGTATCCTTCCTGCTCCTTGAAACACTACTATAAGTATCCTTCCTGCTCCTTGAAACACTACTATAAGTATCCTTCCTGTTCCTTGAAACACTACTATAAGTATCCTTCCTGCTCCTTGAAACACTACTATAAGTATCCTTCCTTCTGTTTAATATCTGTTAGTGGTTAACCTTTAAACAAGTAGAAGTTAGCTGTGGGGACGGTGGTCATCATCAGTGTAAGTTAGCTGTAGGGACTGTGGTCATCATCAGTGTAAGTTAGCTGTGGGGACGGTGGTCATCATCAGTGTAAGTTAGCTGTAGGGACTGTGGTCATCATCAGTGTAAGTTAGCTGTAGGGATGGTGGTCATCATCAGTGTAAGTTAGCTGTAGGGACTGTGGTCATCATCAGTGTAAGTTAGCTGTAGGGATGGTGGTCATCTTTAGTGAATGTTCTATGTTCATTACATTCCACTGCTTGCATATACATGGGTGAAGTAGGGAATGCTTAGCCATCAATTAAGGGTTAAAGGATTTGTTAGTGTATTCAGAAGATTTTTTGACATTATTCAGGAGCAAGACGACAGGGCGGCAGTATCCTGGCTCAGCTGGACTCTCTTCACGAGTATCACCATGAGTTAACAGCAAAGACTCAGCAGCTCCAACAAGTGGAACAACAGTTGAAGCATCTCCAGGTGTGTGAAATATCTCACTCTCTCTCTCTCTCTCTCTCTCTCTCCAATACAGTACAGTACTGCACCATACAGTACAGTACTACACAATACAGTGCAGTACTGCACCTCACAGTACAGTGCTTCACCATACAATACAGTACCATACAGTACAGTACTGCACCATACAGTACAGTACCGTACCATACAGTACTACACCATACAATACAGTACTGCACCATACAGTACAGTACTACACAATACAGTACACTACTGCACCATACAGTACAATACTGCACCATACAGTACAATACTACACCATACAATACAGTACTACACCATATAGTACAGTACTGCACCATACAGTACAATACTACACAATACAATACAGTTCGACATCATACAATACAGTACCATACAGTACAATACTGCACCATACAATACAGTACCATACAGTACAGTACTGCACCATACAAACCACTACCATACAGTACAGTACTGTACCATGCAATACAGTACCATACAGTATAGTACTGCACCATACAAACCACTACCATACAGTACAGTACTGTACCATGCAATACAGCACCATACAGTACAATACTGCACCATACAATACAGTACAGTACTGCACCATACAATACAGTACTGCACCATACAATACAGTACTGCACCATACAGTAAAGTACTGCACCATACAGTACAGTACTGTACCATGCAATAGTTCCCAGTATAGAAGTGCACCATGCAGTACTACACAAATACAGTACTGCACCATACAGTACTATCGTGCACAAAAGTCGTGTCCACTACCCAGCCAGTGAGGTTTCGAATAGCCTTGAGTCTGAAGTTTCGAAACAGCTGTGGTAAATGCTATGGTCGGCCAACAGATGTCGCCCACTGTAGTGTGTGTGTGGGGGAGGGGGGGGGGGATAGAGGAGGTGGAGGCTGGATGAGAGGCAGGTTTATTTATTATTTATACCACCATAATTTCAAGCTGCCTTTTTAACTACGTTTTGTCTTACAGTTGTTTCTTTATGGTTACGAATTCATGGAACAGGTGCAGTGCCCTGGGTGCTTATTGCCGCTCAGGTCACAATGATACTTTAAAGAATGGAATATATTAAGGATAAAAGTGAAATATGCAAGGATCAGCTAGTTTTACTCAGCGACCACGTCACAATTTTGTTGTTATTCCGACAAAGAGATTATGGTAATATTTATTTATATTCCACCCATCCTTTGCTTAATAAATATTTGTGATAATATGCAATATTATATAATTATATACTTATGTTAAAAGAGTGGAGTGAAAAAGTTATCAGTATTGTAAAATAGTATTCAGATTTAATCTACTTCCAATTCTTCCAAGTTCCAGTGCTTAAACACCCCACCACAATATGCAAGCTTCATATATTTTGGAGTGTGCTCAGTTACCGTTAATATTGTGTGGTGAACATCATGAGCATATCAATGATGGTAGCAATGTAACTATGTAATTATATTGTGTTATAAGACAACACATTCCATGACGTGTCATACAGATCATTGTATACCACACAATACATAATTTGTGGCTGTTAAGTTACTTTGTTATGAATTTTCATGCGATATAGTTTAAGACATCACTAAGGACATGGATTTAAGATAACACTGTAGGTGAGTTCATATATATTAATTGTATTTACAAACAATACTAAAATCCAAACAATACACCAATACCAACATCTTAGTATTTGGTCCAGCCACCCATTGCATTCAGGACTTCATCAAGGCGATTAGGGATGGAGTTGACCAGCTTCAGGCACACCCCTAGTCGTCGACGTATACTCTCCCACACGTCGTAAGCTTTGGCCTCTATTGCTGCACAGGTTCGCTGCTCCCCAATATCCCAATCACGTTTCATCATGGCCCAAATATGTTCAATCGGATTAATATCACATCCCAGTGTTGGCCAGTCGATGACCTCAATTTCAGGGTGATCCAGGAGGTAGTCCTTCACTATGTTGCTGGTATGAATGGGACTTGTCATGAACCAGCCTGATAGTGTGGGGGGCTGGAACTGCCATAGCCCAGACTGTAGGAATTAGCACTTGCTCCAGGATGTCTACATACTGCTCACCAGTGAAAAGGTCATTAATCTTGACCTGTTCACCTGGCCCATGTGCCCACATCCACCCCCAGAATGACACTGACACCCTTCCACTCACTGCACGATGTTGAATGTGTTTCTCTGGGGGGCCGCCAGCACTGCCGTGCTTCGGCTCCCACTGACCTGAACACCATTCCATCGGTAAATATAATGGTTCTCTATGTGGAAGGTGTTCCAATGCAAAGCCGAGTCGACACTCCTTGTGAGTAGGTGTTCGCCACCCTTTGTGAGCTGGAATATGGCAGTCGATCCCGGCTTCGTGTCTCGTCGTCATGTGATGGCAGTTGAGGCCCAAATTTCTTGTATGCTCCACTGATGTTCGCATTGGATATGCCGTTGCAGCTGCCACAATCATGGCGTCCATCCTTGCTGACGTTACTCGTGACCTCCCGCTTCGAGGTTTCGTCTCCACTGAGCCCTCTTCCTCCCACCGGCGGATCCACCTCCTAATCGTCTTGGTGCTCCTCCCCACTTCGACAGCATTGTTCGGCACAGTTGCCCCGGCTCTCCACATCCCGATGATTTGGCCTCGCTCAGCAATCACTGCCGACGAATTTGCTCGTCCTGCAGGCATATCTGAAATGGCAGAGTAATATTATGTTGTGGTAACTGATGCAGGCTTTTATATACTAGAGTAAATTAATGGTATTAGTAACACCTAGGTTAAGTATTATTACTCTGACATAACGTTTTGGTAAATCTTTTTGGATCAACTGCCCAAGAAACCCTTCCTATTTCATGTATTCATAGTGAACTGCAAGTGGATCCTCCCCCCCCCCAAACCTCCACCACCACCCCTGCGACTGTAGAGTGAACATTCGCCGATAATCATCATCATCATCAAGATTTAGTTTAACCAGACCACTGACACCCATTTGAGTCTCTCCTAGGGCTGGCCAGAGGGATTAGTTAACATATATTTGTGTTTCTATAATTTAGTGTTATATTGTTTGGAGGAGATTACAGTATTTCAAAAAGGTCAAAACTGAACTTAGGAAAATTTTGGGGTCTCTGCTAAAATATCTTACATTGTAGGGTTAGTGAAGCACATTGTTCGATACCGATTATAAATAGGGCATTCAATGAGAATATGTTGGACTGTTATTTGTGTTCAGCAGTTGGAGCATATAGGTGGGGCTCCATTAGGGGAAGACATGAGTTGGCCATGCGTCAATCGCGTATGCCCAATTCTTAGACGATTCAGAATAGTTTCGTGATGTCGAGAGGATTGCTTTGATGATGACCAAGGATAAACTGATGATTTGATAATTTTTAGCTTATGACTTGTTGGTTCATTTTCCCAGGACTTTTGCCAATCGTCAAATATTAATTGTTTATAGGTAGTTAGCCTTGCCGATAATCAAAATATATGGTTTTCCACTGCTTTACATATTTCTTTGACAATTTTCAACTATGACATACTTATCTTCTATGAATAATTCATTTAAAATTTATTTTTTTACAAAGAATATTCACTGGTTCCAGAATGTATCTAAACTTACGCCAGTGATGGTCAAGTCTGGTCTTAAATAAGTTCATACTTGGTGCTATCACAACACTACCGGTAACTCTAAATACAAGGGGGAGGAGCCATGTCGTCGGTTCTGTGAGTGTTCATTACAGAAGTGCAATTCGTCGCCATGGGTAGAATAGGGGGAGGGGGGTTGGGGAATGCAGGGGAAGGTAATGTGATGAGATGGAATGTTCGATTGACGTTAGTCTTGGGGGAGGGATGAAGGGAAGAGGTGGGGGAGGGAGTGGAGTGGGGGGGATGGTGGTGTGAGGGAGAGAGTCGATTGTGTTTAGGTGTGGTAACCCACGATGCTCAAATTATGAGGTTTAATAGTTGGGTGGGTAGAGGGTGGGGAGGCTAGGCGCGGAGTTGGAACTCGTGAACGTATGATGTTGTTTAATGCAAGTTATGGAACATTACAGTATCTTCAAACGGGTTTTCACGCTATTAATAGGCCTTATGTAATCCACCAATAAGGATTACAACAGCACACAGTATGGCTGCAATTGGTAAGAAAAATAAAATATAACATGGCAAAATTTTTGCCCTGCGTAATTTTTACAACCCACCTCACGCCTAAAGTAAACCGAAAAATGCTTATGTGTATAGAAGATTTTCAACTCAATATCACATATTCTTTCACCTCTACAAATATCTGCTGTCACTCATGGGACACCCTGCAATAGTATAAGGACGACGGGCTATGCTGACAAATTAATGTGACTTACCTGTTGGTGACAACGATGGTAGGAATGAGACCTCGGCATGTTTCAGTGTTCGATATCACCTCCTTCCCCTGGTGTGGGTGGCGCCAACCTTGGTAACAACTTGTGTATTCTCCATTACTACCATTACTGGTAGTCACGGAGAATTAATTACTGGTGTGCCCATCAGTCTCACCGTCGTAGCCATGAACGGCAGAGATATGCTCGTTGTAGTTCTTTTATTTACCCGTTATACATGTCTCACCATGCTTAATAATATTAACTATCTTCATGACATTCTTATTGTTATCAGTGTTTGTGGAATTCACGAAGAAGTCTGTTTAAGAAAACTTGGGCGATAATCTTGCCAGCTACAGAGAGCAGCAAGATCCCACGGTAGTTGCCACAGTCTGACCGATCTCCTTTGTTGTTATAAATATTGACAATGGAGGTGTCTTTAAGAGCTTGGGGGATTTCCTCATTTTCCCATATATTCTCGTGGGTCAGCTCTGGATGCTGAGGGACCTGCTGGGTATTCAGGACATCCACATCGGTGTTTCGGTTGAGCAGTGAATGGTAATGCTCTTTCCATTGCTAAAGGAGGCCTTCATCGTCTTTAATTAGGGAGTTACCGTCTGATGAGCGAAGGGGGGCT